CCCCTCCATGCATCATCAACCAACCAAAGGGTATACACTATAAGCCTGCCCCCAGTCATCAGCATACAGCCCCTCTCCCTCCCTGTGTCTATAGTCCCCAACTGCTCCATCTATCTATCTACGTCATTGCCTCTGCCTCCATCTCAGGTATCACTTCTTCTCTGGGTAGGGTCCTGCTCTCCACTCTTCTCCCTTGATGGTCACAGGGACCTCTGCTCCTAGGCTGAAAAGTTAATCACTCCCCTGCTTGCTACAAAAGGTAGCAACCCTCATAAGCAGTCCTGATAACAATTATTCACTATTGTATCACAAAAGACCCATCGACATTTCATTTCATATTATAGTTTTTAAGATGATGTTCTACCTCCTCAGTATGACAAATAACGTCTAGGGTCTTAAAAGGTATAAGCAGCCATATAATGTACAACTATTAGTATCTTTCCTATGAAACAAAAGAGAAAAAAGGAACCCCAATATTTAGAGAAGGAACTAGACTTCAGGATTAATTTTCTCCATGAATCATGCCACCGCTTCCTTGAGGCTAGAATTAGATCGTGCTCGGCGACCACTACTGACCATTCAAATCTGTAGTGCAAAAGATGAATCCTGGTAAGAAGGGAAGATAATGTCCAGTAGAACTTCAAATTCTGAAAGATTACTAAGAGTTGTAGAGGATGTAAAGCAATAGAATCTCAAATAGAGTAGAATTGTAAACTGAAAATTACTTTGGCAAACATTTTTGAATTACATGATAACATTAAACAACCACAGACTCTGTTGCCCATCAATTCCGCTCATACATGTAGACAATAAGAATGTCTACTTACCGTTGAATCAACTCTGAGTCACAGTGACTTTGCTTGGTCGCCTGTGCCATCTTCATGATCCTTGGTATGTTTGAGTCAGTTGTTGTGGTTATTTGTCAACCATATCATTAAGGGTTTCCCTCTTTTCACTGACCTGCTACTTTACCACACAAGACATCCTTTTCTAGTGATTGGCTTTTCTAGATGATATGTCCAAAATGTTGTTAGGTGCTGCTGAATCAGTACCGATTCATAGCGACTCTATGCACAACAGAATGAAATACTGCTCAGTCCTGTACCAACCTCACAATGTTGCTATGTATGAGCCCACTGCTGCTGTCACTGTGCCAACCAGTTTTATTTGGGGGTCTTCCTTTTTTTCTCTGACCCTCTGCTTTATCAAACATGGTATCCTCTCCATGGACTCATCATTCCTGATACTATGTCCAAAGTATGAGAGATGAAGCCTCGCCATCCTGGTTTCCATGGAGCACTCTGGCTGTTCTTCCAGCCCAGATTGGTTTGTTCTTTTAGCAGTCCATGGTACTTTTTACATTGAGATACAACCCATACTGAAGACTGTGATTTATGATCTTCATCAGTAAGTATTCTAAGTCCTCTTCTCTTTCAGCAAGCAAGGTTGTATCATCTGCATATTGCAGGTTGTTAGTGACTCTTCCTCCAATCTTGATGCCACGTTTTTCTTCATATATTCCAGTTTCTCAGATTATTTGCTCAACATACTGATTGAATAAGTATGGTGAAATAATACAACCTTGGTGCACACCTTTCCTAATTTTAACCATTTGATGTTCCCTTGTTCTGTTTGAGCAACTATGTCTTGATCTATGTACAGGTTCTGCATGAGCACAATTAAGTATTCCAGCATACTCATTCTCTACAGTGTTGTCCATGGTGAGGTCCATGTGTATGTTGTTGTTGTTAGGTGACATTGAGTCAGTACCAACTCATAGTGACCTTATGCATAGCAGAACGAAACACTGCCCGATCCTGGGCCAACCTCACTATTGTTGCCACGCTTGAATCCATCGATGCTGCCACTTTGCCAATCCATCTTGTTGGGGGTCTTCCTCTTTTTCTCTGACCCTCCACCTTACCAAACATGATATCTTTCTCCAGTGACTGGTCCCTCCTGACAATATGTCTGAAGTATGAGAGACAAAGTTCAGCCATCCTGGCCTCCAAGAAGCACTCTGGTTGCACTTCTTCCAAAACGGATCTCTTGGTTCTTTTGGCAGTCCATGGCACTTTCAATATTCTCCAACACCATGTGTATAGGAGTGTTTTATGTTGTTTTTAAAAAGGTATTTGTAATGAACAAGTCGTTGGTCTTGCACAATTCTGTCATGCTATTCCAGCATCATTTCTATCACTAAGACCATGTTTTCCAAAGACTGATCCTTCCTTTTGGTTTCCAATCTTTGTATTCCAATCACCAGTAATTATCAATACAACTTGATTGCATATGTGATCAATTTCAGATTGAAGAAGTTGGTCATCACTGGAGTTAGTGGTTGATATTTAAGTTTGAATTATAGTGGTATTAACTGGTCTTCCTTGTAAGCATATGGCTATTATCCTATCACAGTGTTGAACTTCAAGACAGATATTGATAGGTTCTTTTCGATGATGAATGTGATGCCATTCCTCTTCAATTTGTCATTCTCAGTATAGTAAACCTTGTGATTATCAGGTTCAAAATGGCTGATACTGGTCCATTTCTGATCACTAATATCAATGATTGTTAATTCCATTTAAATTCTGATAATTTCCAATTTTCTTAGATTCATACTTTGTACATTCCATGTTCTGATTATTAATGGATATTTGCAGCTTTTTCTTTTCATTTTGAGTTGTGCCCCATCAGCAAATGACGTTTCCAAAGGGTTTACTCCATATGCATCATCATGGTGAACTCAACTTTAAGGAGGCAGCTCTTCCTCAGTCATATTTTGAGTGCCTTCCAATCTGAGTGGCTTATCTTCCAGCACTACATCTACAGTATTTGGGTGCTCTTCATCATGTTTAAATATTCTCTATTCTGGTGCTAACAGTGTTCCAGTGCTATCCAGAGTGTCTTCAGTGACTAAGTATTCAGAAGTAGTCTTTCCTTCTTTCTAGTCTGTCTTCATCTGGAATCTCAGCTGAAACTTGTCTGCCATGGTTGACCCTGCTGATATTTAAAATATCCGTGGCATAGTTTCCAGAATCACAGCCACACGCAAGCCACCACAGCACAGCAAACTGACAGATGAGTGGTGGGTGTCCAAAATAGTCAAATTCCTACCTTCCTTGTTTCTAAGATGCATTCTGGTTGCATTGCATCTAAGACTAATATGTTCATTCTTTTTGTTGTTATATACTGTTGAGTCAGTTCTCTCTAATAGCACCCCTATATGTGGTTTCCAAAGAGCAGTCTGGTGGGTTTAAATCACCAACCTTGTGGTTAGCAGTTCAATGCTTATCTTACAGTGCCACACCAGGATTCCATTCTTTTGATAACCCACAGTATATTCAATATTCCATGCTGATAACACTGTTCAAACATATGGATTTTACATTTATCTTTCTTTTTTATTATCCAAGTTTCACATGCATTTGAGGCAATTAAAAAAACATGGCTTGGAATAAATATACCTTAGTCATTAAAGTAACATCTTTGCTTCTTAAATTTTTAGAGAGGTTGTTGATAGACGCATATAACAGAAACCTTGAAACCACTTAAATGCCCATTGTCAGAAGACTGGATTAATAAATATGAGATAATGTACAGAAATAAAAAGTGAAAATACTACAGCTTTACAAATTAATATAATTTCACATGTGGTTCATAAATCTCACACGTGGTTCAATAGAAATAGCAAGTTCTAGAAATAAATCTGGGGTATATGGTTCAAGGATCCTGGTGTGGTGCTGTGGTTTAATGCACCAGACTGCAAAGCCATTTGAACTGCAAGGTTGGTGGTTCAAACTCACCAGCTGCTCCTCAGAAACCCTATACAGGGTCACTATGGGTCAGAACTGATTCGACAACACTTAACAACAACAACATATGGTTTAAAGCAGGTATTATTAAACAATAAATCATATGCATGTAGTATATACAGATAAATGGTAAAAACTATGTATCAGATATGTATAGGATAGTAAAACTGTATAGGATAATGGGTACCTTTGGAGGAAGGAAGGGGCTTACAAAATCTGGGATCACATTAAATGGGCCTCAATATTGGTAGCATCTTTCTTGTATTGAATTATGGATTTATGAGGGGTCTTCAAAAAGGTAATGAAAAATTCCATGATATTTTTAATTCAATTTTTCCATTAGTTTTTGAAGCACCCTCATATTGTCATTTTTTATATAACTGTCCTTTATAATATATGTTGATATTTTCTACAATCTTTTGGTATATTTCACAATAAAACATAAGCAAGGTCTAAAGAACTGCAACTGAATAAATGACAGAGGAAATTCCCTGAGACTCTCATACCTGGCCTGAACTATTGAAAAGCTTTGCTCTTGAGTAGGAAGCAAGCATTTAAGAGGAACAGAAATATCTGCTGGTGCCCTTGGAAGTTGCTAGGGAAATTCATGACTGTGTAAAATAAATGAGTGATTTGAGAAGGACACTTCAGCAAGGAGTCCTGGCTTTCCTTTGTATCTAGGAAAATACATAATTTATACCCTTGTGAATAAATATGATGGCATCTGTAATCGTTACTTAAACAAATCAAGGTTTCATTTTCCTCACATAACATAACATAACAGAAGTAGGCAATGTAGGCATGGTTCAGGTTCACTGGGTGAACAATATTCCCAACCCAGGCTCCTTTTGTGTTTACACGCTGTCATGTTCAGTGTGGGGGCTTTCTATCCCATATTGCTCCAGACATCTCCATCTATCCTTAATGCAGCATGTAGGAGTTTCTTCTTAACTCTTTTGTCATGGTTTTCCTAGAATTTGCCTAGAGCCAGCCACCCCTATCCTAGTGGTTAGATGGTGTCACGTGGCTATTTCTTGCTGAAAGGGAAGCTAAGAAGTAATTCTTTTACAACTGCAGCCTGTCCAGTTGGAACTGGCAAGATTGAAGTGGGGATGGATGTCACAAGTAGTAATGCAGCAGCCTTTTATCAAAGCACTACACTAAGAATGACTTCTCTCTACTCACCAGGCGCCAGTCTACTTGATGACCTCTATAAATACTTCTCCTTCCATCACTCCCACGGAGACACCATGACTGTCATGGATCCAAAGCAGATGAATGTTGCCGCTGCTGTCTGGGCTGTTGTATCTTTTGTTGTTGCAGACATGGAAGAAATGCTCCCCAGGTCCTAGGAAGAACAAGAAAGAAGACATGCTCATTCTTTCTAGCCAGGAGTCCTGGTCTCAGCTTTAGGAAGCCTGCCTTTATCTCACAATTGCATTTGATTTGTCTCCAATGCATAACCCATTTTCAGGTTTTTTGTTATCATCTTTCTTGATTTTTCTGTTTCTAGAATCAGAAAGTAACTCCTACCCCACTTAGAATTAGCATGTGATTGCGATCACAGTGGGGCAGTCTTTATACCACCCATAAAAAAATAGTCTCTACTTTGTAAATAAGCACCGAATAAATCTTTGGAAAGCCTCTGATTTTTATGTTTATTTATTAAATCAAATGCTGTGCAATCAATGTCTGTGTTCAATGTTGTATAGTGAAGGAGTAAAGGAGGTGCATGGTTATCGTATGATCTTAATTGAATGTAGAAGGAATTTGGTTTTCTAACCTGCACACTTTTATATTGCTTCCATTCTTTAAAGAAGACACAGATTTTATTTTAATTAATAGAAAAAATATAGACCAATTGGTGTAACAATCTATTATGTATAAGCTAATTGCCTTTTTAATGATGAATACTAGGGTCTGTCATTAGACAAATTATAATATCATTTTGCATTTATTTCTATTTTAGATATTTCACCCCAAATTACAAAAACATATCACATTTTGATCAATGTTGAGGCTCAAATAGACTGAATAACTTGTGTAATATTAGCAAACAAAAACTGTGATCTTCGGCCAAGGAAAGTAGCCCTGAAGGAGAGGATACCAGGGACAGATGAGCTAAGAAGGGGGGTATTTACCTGGAACAACCTGAGATAATGTGGATTCATTATGATTTAGGAGGAACTGGAATTACAATGAAAAAGACAAGGTCCATAACTAGGGTGACAAAGGTAAGCATGAGGCGAAGTGAGGCTGGACGTATCAAAGAAGATTCTTCTTTGATCAGCAGTCAAATCATCAGTCAAAAGTGTCTGATAAAAGAACAGAGGTTCCTGTAAATCTTTACAGGAGCAAAAATCTCATCTCTCTCCTGTGAAATGGCTGGTAGTTTCAAACTACTGACCTTGAGGTTAGCAGCCCAACTCATAACCATTACACTACCAGAGCTCTTTGGGAAAGAGATTGTTTCTTCAAAAAATAGTTCCGGTGAAACTGGAAATCCATTTGCAGAAAAATGAAACAAGACCCATATCTCAAACATGTGCAGAAACAAAATCAATATGGATTAAATACTTAAATGTAAAACCAAGAACTATAAAGATCGTTAATGAAAAACTAGGGACAAACTAGGGGCTATGATACATGGCATAGATACACTGTCAAATATAACTAAAAACACAAACAGGGGAGAACAAACAAGAAGGCGGATCGGGTGGACGTATAGCAGAGAGCTCCACCAACAACAACACAGAATACCTGACCAAGCAGGCTCAGGGGATGTTCCCAGAACTCTGAACCACATATAAAGGAATACTTAGAAGGTTGGAAGGCTCACAGCTGGGGGAATTTGTGG